CAGCCACAGCCGGACCCTTCCCGGCGGCCCCCACGCCCCAGCTCCGCTTCCGCGCCCAGGGCCCGCCCACCCTGCCCTCACAGCTAGAGGGGGCGGGGAGCAGGAGCGCCCCCACCTCCCGGCCGCCCAAGAGTGTCGTCACTGCGACCAGCCCCGCCCTCCGCGCGCTGGGACCTGCCGGCTAGCAGCGACTGGGGTAAAGCAGGAAGTGTCGCGATGCCCCGTTGTAAGTCACCCACAGCGGCCTGCTGGCAGTGCCGCCTGGTCGCCTCCTCCCCAGTGCTACCAACTCAGGGTGTTTGGCGTTGATCTCAAAGTCTTCGCTTCGGGAATGTGAAAAGCTTAGCTCTTTCATGTATATGTATGTGTATACATACACACATATATACATATGCACATTATATATATTACACACACTCACACATATATAAATAAAAGAAAGCTAAGTTTTTCCCAAAGCGCAGACTTGAAGAACAATGCCACACATGAGTTGGCAGCACTGCCCCTTGCACAGGGCACACTGGCACCAGAGCAGGTCTGTGAGCAAGGGCATGGAGGGGCTCCCCTGGGAAGCAAGGAGAGTAGCTAGGGCTGCCGGGCTTAGACAAGAAAGGCTCGAGGGGGACAGGATCAGGGTTACAGTCAGAGAAAGGAGAGGGGGGTTTTTACTGACTCCCCCAAGATGAGTGAAGGGGTCACACCATGAAACCCATAGGGAGTAAGTTTAAAACTAACCCAAGGAAGTTGTTTCACAGGGTGCGTCACACAGTGCGGAGCTGCTCGCCACCCCGGTGTGGTGGAAGCGGGAGCCGGGTTCCAAAAGGGCTGGGACCGTTCTTGGTGGGAAGGAGCATCGGTAGCTATTGAGCATGGGAGTGAGGAGCACGGCCTCTGACTCGGAGCTTCCTAGACCCCAAGTGCTGGAGGATACAACCAAGAGGGGAACAGTGACAAAACCCTGGTTCTTCCCAGTTCACTCCCTTTCAGCCTCCACTCTCTGCTGTTTTGTGACGCAGGAGACTGGCTAAGATAGAGCTATAATCTGACCCAGTAAATGGCAGTTCTTATATTATAGCCCATACTGTCCCTTCTGCAAAAGCTGCACACTGCCCTTCACCGGCACTATGTCTGTTTTGGGGTGGCTTTGTGTGAACCAGCAGGAACCACCTTTAAGCACAGCAAGGGGGGGAAGGAGGTGCTGATGGTAATATGGACAACCACTAAGGGCAAGTCCAGATGTGTATGGCACCACTGATCATCCCTAGGAAATGCCTGTGCCATGAGTGCTTTGACGCATGGCACATTACTGTGGGTGAGGTAGGGGAAACTGAGGCCAGCACTGTGCTAGCCCCAGTAGCTTTAACTGGAGTCCTGGGGGCCTCCCAGGGCTGCAGCAGCAACAATCCTGCTGTGTGAAGCTTGGCTGGCAGTGGAGTGTGGCTCCAGCTGCCCAGGCTCCAGCTCTGGCTGACACGCTTTTTTTTTCTTCTGTGGATTTTTTTGATCCCTAGATATCCAGGGGGTCAAAAAAACCCTCTGTGCTGCTCCCTTGCAGCACAGACAACAACTGAACATGCAGGATGTGGTGCCTCAGACACGTCTGTGGTGCCACATACCACACAGCTGCACTCGTCTAGACATAGCCTTAGAGGCAGAAGGTTAGTTAAATACAAAGAAACCAGTGGGGAAGGAGGCATTGGGCTGAAATTGGATCCTTGGTCCCGGTTCTCTATTCCCAGTTCCTTTTCCAAGGATTCTCTTTCCACAACTAGAGATTGTTCGCAATGAATGATACATGGCTAGGCTTGGCAGGATTTTATTTTTATCAGTAAATGTTGATAAACGTCAATTTCACCTCCTGCTCACTGACTGAGGAAAAATATTTCCATCATCAATAATCAAAAACAGAGGAGAAGAACAGAACGGAGTCACAGGCCAGAGTATGGAGGGCTAGTCTCTTCAAGGAGGAAAACAGTGAGCGGCATAATGCAGCATTTCTCGACCCATGGGTCACAACCTGAAAATGGGTCCTATGAATATATGGAAGAAGGGCTGCAAACAAACTTTAAAAATGGATTCTCCTTTAAAGGAGAAAATGTGGGAAACCATGGCTTTTCTCTTGCAGGCTGACAGAATTCCAGGCTGCAAGGGGCTACTTGGGGCACCCCATGCCCCACACCTACCCCCTGCCCCACACACTTGGGAGCTGGGGAAAGGGGGTAGTGGGTGGGACTTGCCTAATGACTCTTCAATTAAGCAATTAGCTGCTTGTTCACAGGTGCAGAGAAGTTGATTGGAGGGAGATAACAGGCTACTTAAACCTCCCACCCCAAGGCAGAGAGAGTATTCCAGCTGGACTAGAAGCAGCAGCTGTGGAAGAAGGTATGGGGCAGCAGTGGTAGGGAGGCCTGTCACCAGAGTAGAACAACTCAGCTGCAGAGAACCCAGGAGAGAGTGTAAAAAGAGATGAACCAGCCTACTGGTGAGACTGATACGTGGAGAGAAAGACTCCAGTTAGAAAGGATACAAGTTTTGGTGTTTTCTTGGCCTTTTCATTGTCTCTTTTTTTGCCATCCCAGGGGCAGAAGATCTTTATGTTAATTTAATTTAAAACAATCAAAATATATGCTTAATAATAAACATCAGTATCTGTCAAATTTATTAAAAAAATAAAAATTGCATTCTGCCAAGCCTACACATGGTGAAGAGTCACATAATTAATTAAACATGTATATTTGCTAATAAAAATGGAATATTATATCACATATCAAGTACATGGCCCAAAAGAAGGAGCTGAGTAGGGCCGGGATTATAAGGCAAACTGCCCCTCAGGTCACCCCAAACCAAATATCTTTGTGACTGGGGGATTCTCCTAAAGCAGCCTGGGTAGGGTGCTACCCAACCAAAAGCTTGGTTGTTGAATGGCATGGTACCACATGGCAGATCCCCAGGCCTACGTGCCATGTATATAGCACTGAATAAGGAGCTGAGGTTGGGCTGGAAGTATGGGGCAAAATACACACACCAAACCACACATCTCTACTATCAAAGAGCTATCCTGAAGCAGCCTGGGCAGGCTCCTGCCTAATGCAAAGCTCATTTTTCAAGAGCTGTTTGCCTTACAGCCCACAGGCAAGCATACTGTGTACATTACATAGTATGTTTGCCTGTGGGCTCTGATGTACTACGTACATTACACTGAATAAGAAGCCTTGTAGAGGCTGAACCTGTTCAGCCTCCACAAGAGAAGGCTGAGGGGGGATCTAGTGGCCTGTTACAAACTAGTCGGGGGGAGGGGGGATCAGCAGGCACTGGGGAAGTCCCTGTTCCCCTGAGCACTGCCAGGAGTGACCAGGAATAAGTCACAAGCTGGCAGAGGGTAGATTTAGGCTAGATATCAGGAGGCGCTACTTCA